TTGGTATACCTTTTCTATTGACCATGTCTTGAAAAAGAAATCCTAATTTACAAATGAACTCCAAATGTTGACACAGATGAATTTATTTCTCATGGGGCTATTAAATTCCAAGCAAACCAGAGTATAAGGCAGAGCCCCATTAAATTTCCCTTGGTATTAGTGAATATTATAGGAACATTGGACCAAAGCTCTCTTGGGGAGAAATTATTTTGTTATTTGTAATGTTTTTGTGTGATACCAGAACGCTGAATCTCATTACAATTTTGACCAACATATTCAAACTCATGAAAAGTGTGGGTAAATCTACCAAGAAAATAAAACACAGTCTAAGTTAGCACAAATACTGAAAGTGTCTTGATTTATCCTACATTGAAAATAAAAATATATACTTAATGGCCAAGTGGTTAGCAATAATTTCACAGTGCAACCAGTGAGGGAATCTGTGAGTGTGGCCTATTGTGAGTTAGAAGGGAGAGAATCCACAGAGACCCCCTCACTTAAGCACCAATTGCAAGTTTGGCGATTTCCTAAAACTGCCATCAGTTTTAAGAATTCACTAGAAGGACTCACAGAATTGACTGATGGCTGGTATACTCACACTCACTGTTTGTCACAGGAAATGGACATGAATTATGAATTAAAATCAGCCAAGGGAAGAAGCACACTGGGCAGAGCCCAGGAGAACTAGAAACTAGAGATCCCAGTTGTCCTCTCCTAACTAGTTCAGGAGCAGTGAAAAATGTATACCACCTCGTAATGCTGGGATTAGAATTTTTGCATTACCAGAACATGACTGGATGTAATGAAAAAGAATTATAATATATTAGAACTGAAATAAATCTTCACTATCTTTTCTTTAACCTCCATATTTTAAGAAGAAAAAAGATGTCTGATTTTAGCATAGTGATAATATATATCTATTTAAGAAAGTAAGTAATTACAGCTTCAGTAATTAGTAAGTTAGTCCTTTGAGAATTCCAGGAATGTATAGCCTAAACAGGTGTGAATTGCACAAGTGTATAAGGAAGTTCCACAATTGTGTAAAGGCTAAGAACAACAAACTACTAAAACCAATTTCTTGTACCATTACTTTTGGTTTCTTTCTTTTTCGTCCCTGTAAGAAACTGTTTCCTATCATTTCTTTCTGTTTATTATGTTTTATACTGTCTTTGGGACTGACTTAGTCACAATTCTGAGTACTCAGCATCATCTGCCAGAGTATGCTTTGCCTATACCCAGTAATCAATCATCCTTAGAGCTTCTGAGCTCCTTTTTTTAACTATTCTGTGTTGACAACATGAAACAGTATACTAGATACTAGACTCTTTCTCTCTCACTTGCAAAAAATCTTTACTTATCCTCTGATGATCTTATGAAAACTAAAGGAAAAAATAAAGCATGTGCATCTCTGTTAACACAGATGCATAATGAACAATAATAATAATAATTGACATTCATTAGCACCTGGTACCTGCTAATTTCTATGCTAGCTGTTTTACATCATCTGTGTTCTTACAATAAAAAAAAACTTGTAAGTGACTATTATTGTCTTTGTATTTCAGATTGACTTAGGAAGCCCCGAATATTTATAAATTGCCATACCAATGCAGTGTATGAATAAGGGTTCAAACTAAGTTTGCCTGTTTCGGTTACCATTGGTCTTTTCGCTTCAGCTTCTGTGTTTAATTAGTGCTCTTATTAGAAATACAACAATTAGAAATACAAATAACAACAGCGACCATGTAAGGACTACCATGTGCCAGGCTCTATGCTCAGTGCTTTGTCTGTATGCTCATAAAACTCATTTGTTCATGTACATACAAGTGATAGAGTGGTGTTATTTATCTGAAGTACTGATCACACATACTACTTTGTATTCTGAGATACGATCACCAATCAATAATGTTGTCATGAAATTCCTGATTTCCAAATGCTGCCTTCTAGATTCATTATCCAAGATTATGAACTGCGAGGCCCTGACCTAGCATCCCAAACTTCCCACTGCACTGCATTTGGTCACTTAGATCTTCCCCATATATTCCATGTTCTTTATGGCTCTGTCTCTTTACTATCTCCATTTCCTGTAACTAAAATGCACTTCTTATTTTCTTAAAAGCCTCTTAATGCCTTTTTTTTACTCACATGTTTTATCTACAGTGAATTATCCCTTGATAGGCCTTCCTGATATGGAAACATCTTTCTTCTTGTTCCAAATGTTACTTTTATTACACTTGTCTAATGAAACATCATTTTAAAATTATGTCATTGTGAGTATAGGTATAAATGCACACATTTATACATTTCTTGCTTTCAGTGTACTGTAGGATGAGGTTCATAAGTTCTCTTCAAAATAATAATACGTATTTTCTCTTTATAAGGCAGTACTTTTTCCATCAGAAAATTTTAAAATTGAGAAATATATAAAGAAGAAAGTATTACTTATAAGCCTAATTTTCAAATATAACTGTTGTTAACACATATTATATTATATATATATGTTTTATGATATATATTTATGGTCATAAATGACTATATGTTATGTATATTTTATGGCTATAAAATATATATTAAATTATCGTTATACTTTCCTCAGCAAAAAATGGAAACAATTAAAATATATTTTTTCAGTGTGATTCACTCCTGAGTTGTTAAGCGCATATTCATGATGATGACAAAACACAAATATCTGCAATGATAATAGTTTAACATAGTGTGTATAAGAAGATGTAAAGGTCAATAAAATGTACTCAATTGGGTATTTAAAACATGTCTCCAGAAAGAATCTGTGTTGTGTCTAAGCAAAAGGAATTTCCTTAACATTTTATAATTATAATGCTCAGCAAACATAAAGGATAAGATGAACAATTAAAAAATACATTTTATTGTTAGGGCGTAGTCAGAAAGAAGTTAATTTAACAAATGATTATGGTTTAATATTTTATATATCTCTAGAGCTTAATATATACATACACACATATATTGTACATGTTGAAGTATAAAGCAATTTGAATATTTTGATTCTTACTATTACAGATACCAAATGTTTATAAGTTTAACTGATTCAGCTTAGGTGATAATAAATGAAATTATATGAATTCATTAGGTTATTGGATTCCAAAGCCATTAAATGTTTCATTATCTATTTAATTCTTCTTCCTTTAATTTCATGCTTACCAAGTGTCATTCTGATTATAATTTGCTGTTTGATGTAATTTATTTTGGAGTTAAGAGATGAATTTTGTGAAGTTCCTGTGAGGATAGATATGGCAGTAATATTTCTTGATTAATATAATTACATTGTCATTATGTTGCATATTTTTAATAAAAAACAATATGTAAATAAATGTTTTCCAGAGATATTTCTATGCTTGGTTACAACTATGTCATATTCAACATGAAGAGAAATACCAATGGTACTTTACCAATTATACAAATAATTAAATATTGACAAGCAAGACCATATCTCTTTAGATTATTGAAAGCCTTTTACAAGACAAGATTTCCATAAATATGTGCTTAATTGAACTGAGTTGAATAGCATAGTCTAAAGTGTAACACTGGTATTTGCATAATGATACCAAAAAAAAATTCTTGGAAAACATTGTAGTATTTTTTAATGATACTTCCAAATATTGGTTGCTCATTTCCTTTTTTCTTTTTTTTTTAAAGATTCTATTTATTTATGCATACAAGAACTGGGGTACAGGCCAGAGGTGTGGGGGTGTGAGAGAATTCACCAGAGACAGAGTGGGGAGCAGACCAGGCAGATCTACTGAAATACACTGCTGAGGGGAGCAGCAGGCGAGTCAGGAGAGGTCTGCGCCATGTGGGTTGCTCCCTGGCCAGCTGGGGATCGAACTTGTGCTGCAGTGACTGTGGCTAGCTTCATAGGTTGAGTCAACGCCTTGCGCCACCAAGGAGGCAAAAGATCTAAATTGACATTTTCTAAGGAAGACATTCAGATGGCTTATAGGCCCATGAAAAAATGTTTAACATCTCTTACTATAAGGGAATACAAATCAAAAGCATACCTCTGTGAGAATGGCCCATATCAAATAAGAATGGAACAGCAAGTGTTGATGGGAATGCAAGTTGATGCAGACTCTATGTATTTACCCCCAGAATATAAAATCTCTAACATGAAAAGACATATATATATATATATATATATATATGTGTGTGTGTGTGTATATATATATATATATATATATATATATACACACACACTTATGTTCATAGCAGGACTGTTCACAATTGCCAAGCATGGAACCAACCAACCTAAGTGCTCAACAGTAGATGAATAAATGTAGAATAAATACTCAATGGAATACTGTACCACTATTAATAATTTTACACACTTATGAAATAATGCATTTTGGGTGAAAATGGTTGGATCTCAAGGTGATTATATTAAGTGAAATAAGTCAGAAAGTAAAAGATATGACGTGGAGTACAAATATCAAAAAAAATTAAAGTGAAAAAATACCGTAAAATCAAATTTTGAACATAGTGAAGAAATTTATTACTTACCAGATGGAAGTTACAGGGTATTGGCATGAGGGGGTTGATGGAGAGTGAGTGAAGCATGAACATATATGGAGGAGTAAAATCTAGTGTAGGGATAAAGGTACAATGATATAATATTTAAAACCTTATTGTTTCAAAAAAGAAAGCAAAATTCTAGCATTCTACTTGCTGTGCAGGATGGTATCAAATATGGAGGGGAAATATATGGGAAAGCTGCAATGGGAAATAATGAATGCTTTTTTAGAGTAGGAAATGGTTTATCATAAGACATTAATATCTTTGTTTTACATTTTTTAATAACTTTTTACTTCCAGAGGCATTTTACTCTATGAGGGCTATTATTTTTCGAAAAATAATACTTTTTTGCGTATTCCTGCCCCCATCTGCCAATTGAAGTGAGTGAATCCTGATGTAGTTGTTTTATGGATAAATTGAGTTTGTCTATAATCCTTACTATACTTTACATTTTTTAGAACCCTTGGGGAAAAGAACAAAAATCACAACAAAAATCAGAAGTAACATCTTACTACCACTGGCAGAATGAAAGATCATCATCTCTAACTTCAGAATTTGGAAGAAAGTGGCTGAGGTATTCAACCTGAACACTAAAACCTATTGTAATTGTCTCCTTTTGCTTTCTTTTCCTACTGTCTTTCCTCTCAGACTAATTTATAGGTTTCATGTGGGCAAGAAGTTTCAAGGATTTAATGAAATAGTGTGCTTGTAGTGCTGAATATGTTGGGCTGAATATTGGTTGTCCAGATTCCTCAATGAGTGAAAATTTAGGGGTTGGTAAATTTGCAGATGAGTGAATGCCATAAACTAGAGTTAAAAATTAAAAATATTCTATGTGATTTTCTGAAATGGAATGTTTTTAAAAGTAAAGATAATAGTTACTATCAACAGAAGGGTATTCTGATTTCAGAATTAGTTTTAGGGACCTCCTATACATCATCTTCGATATACATAACTCCACAACTTAATTTCTTAATGGAAATCATTTATAGATGAAAAATTTGAGGTTCAGGAATTTTGGTTAACTAACCTTCTACAACAGAATGTATGTTAACTTTCACACTGAAAACCTACCCTTTTAAATTTTTTCACCCAAAAATTTTCATCAGTTTTTTCGATGTCCAATATTTTCCTCTTTAAGAGGTTTGGAAACTGAAACAGTATATCTACTTCTCTGAGATTGCTTATAATAAATGGTAAATATATAATCCAAGGCTAAAACATACCTAGATTTATGTAAGGTAGTTCTATTAGTAAGTTCATGAAGGAAGCTCTGAAGTATGGCATCTTAAGAAAACACATTTAGTTCTCAACTTCAAACTTACTAGGGTAAATAAAAGGAACTTGAGAAAATGTCATAAGCCTTATGGTTACACGTGGCTGTACCTGGAAAAGACTGTATTTCAAAGACTGACTACATTCTGGTTTTTGTTTTTAATCTAATTTTATCATCAGAGTTTCATGACATAAAAAAAAGTCAAATATAAAACAAATCCAGACTTAAGATGAAGCTTAATTCAAAAGATTATTGCAATAGGAAGATGGGGCATTTGTGAGAGGGAGAATGTTCCTGCTGTGGGGACAGCAAGCTTCTCAAAGGGAGGAAAGGGTTTTTCTTATATAAGGAGTAAACAAGGCTAGAAAAACACATGTCAAACAGCTAATCAGAGACTGTTTGTGGTCAGTGACTTTGGGGAGCATAGTTAAGGAGGTGCTGATCTTCATTCTGATGATGGCTAAGTTGTGTGAGTCTCCAAGTTCAGGGTTCTGTATGAAGGATAAAAGCTTAAGGAAAGTTTGTTCAAGTCCAGTTCACAACCACTTTGCAAATAAGTCAGTGGGGACAAATAGTTGAGCTACTCTTTTACCAGACAAAGTGGAAATGTCTGGCCTTGTTACAGATAAACAAAGAGGCATCTAGATGCTTATCTAAATCACTGGGGAGAGGTGGTTACTTGTAGTAAGCTCTTTCCTGAAACACAGTTGGGGAGGGGGGCAGGGAGGGGAGTATTTCTTTAACCATCTCTGTTTTTTAGGATCACAGCTTAAAGCTCACTAGTGTCAGAATCTATCCAAATCACTCATATTTGTATCAGAAATCACCTTGTTGTGTTTTTTTTTTTTCATTATTTATTTATTTATGCAAGCACTGGGTATAGTCAGAAGTGTGGGAGGGTGAGAGAATTCACCAGAGCAAGAGCAGGAAGCAGAGCAGGCAGACTGACGAAGTACACTGCTGAGGGGAACAGCGGGCGCGGCAGGAGAGGTCTGCGCGCCATGTGGGACCCTCGCCGGTGGCCAGGGATCGAACTGGCGCTGCAGAGGCTGCAGGCAGCTTCACAGCCCAGCGCTCAACCACTGCGCTACCAGGGGAGGCCCAGAATTCACCTTGTTTTATATGGAAAGCTAGTATGCAATATTCAAGACTCTATAGCATTGCTAGGAGGTTTTTGTTTTTAATCTAATTTTATCATCTGAGTTTCATGACATAAAAAAGTCAAATGAAAACAAACCCAGACATAAGATGAGGCTTTATTCAAAAGATTATTGCAATAGGGAGATTGGGGCAGTTTCGAGAGGGAGCTTAATAAGTGATAGTAGCCTCCTGCAGTTTCTGGAAAGAATATCTTAGCCATTTCCTTAATTGCAGTGTCATTTAATTAACAAATGTTGTCAGATACATGTAAGCATTGTATGCTGAGTGAATTGTAATAGTTCATATACACTTAATTATCAACTAAGAAAGGAATACTATACTCATTGTCAAATAACTTGATTATACTGTTATGCTGCTATGTTGGAAATATTACCTAATTTAAGAACTTAAATATCCTCACTCCAAATAGAAACAGCATGGTGTGATGGAAAAAACAAGATTTCAACTCAAACAAACTTGATTCAAATTCTGACTTTGCCAGAAACTAGCCTTGGTATAACTAAATAATAATAAAAGCTCTACTTAAAAACAATTGTACTTTGTCATAAAGGAATTTAGAGTATATTATTGGAGACTGAATGACTCACACAACAGGAAAAAAAATGGGATTCAAACATAATATAAAACTAGTTCAGACTATGTAAAGCCAAGTGCTAAGGCACTGTAAGAATGGTTTATATTTTGGGCAGCAAACATAAAAGGGTTCTATGGGAGACTGAAAATAACAATGCTTAGAAAATGGGGTATGCTTGTTGGATAGGAGAAGGTTGAAGATCTTTGTGGGGAAGGTTTTATGTTTATTTTTAAATGTACTTGATCAAATGATGGATTAAAATGGGTCTGAGGGGCCCTCAAAGCCAGCATCATTCGTACATTTTTTTCGGAGGCAGAATAGAATGGAGGCTTTTGTTTTTATTTCGAAAGTTAATATAAGAGCATATGATGCTTATGGACATCAATTTCTGTATCCAGGCAACATATCTTTGAAGTGGTAAGGAGATTATTGACATTTTATAGCTGTGGTTCCAAGAACACCAAAAGAAAAGCAGTTGTGGGAGCAGAAATAGCCCACAGACCAGGGCTCATGGAAAATTGGGATAATTACTGAAATCAATTCTGGCTTACAAAGAACATAAAAGCTGAACACACACTGTTAAATTGCATTCTGCTCACCTGTGGTTTACCATACTTTTTTTTTTCTTTTTTATAATGCTCAGATTTTGTAAAGGTCAAGTTGAATTTCTAATAGATCATTAATGAAAAGCATTTGTGGCAGTAATGGGAACACAAAACTATCACAGCTCTTAAAAATTCTGTATTTTATATAATTTGAAAATTCATAAAGTGGAATAAAAACTACTAAGTCAATTCCAAATGACATTTATAGGTAACATATATATGGACCTACTTCTTAAAGCAATTAACACTTACATGAGTCAATTTTTTTATGATGTGGTTAATACTACTTGCGTTGGAAGAGTCATATGGATATACAACCCCATGAATCTTTGGTAATTGTTCATTCATTGCTATATACCACCTGAACCATATGAATTTGTGAATTACATGATTGATTTTTCAGGAGAAGAGATGATTGTAGTCATAAGTTCTATGGCATGAATGGCTTCCACAGAACCTGGGAGTGGTCCATAGTGAACTGACTTTAAGCTCAGTGAACAAGAGATCACAGTCAAATAATACTACTATCTGGAAGATGGAACAAATGCTTAAATCAAAGCAATGGCATGAATGTGACTTCAAGTCTATTTAGACGACAGGAAATACAGAGAGACAAATTCAGCACATGACTAGGCCTTAGAAATCAATTCCATCATGTGCTCTGTAAGCTAATTATAAAGTGCATAACAAGCCATAGTGAAATTTGCCTTTCATTCCTCGAATAATGTAATTCATATCAGTGCCACCTATTTGAGAAATTATAAGTAGCATATAATGAGTAAAGTTTTTTGAGAGAAATCTAATTTTGATTCTTAATATTGTAACTTCTTGGAGAATATCTGAACATAAATTACTGAAACTTTAGTGCATTTACTTTGCTCATTTGCGTAATAAGCCTATGACTTATATCTTAAAGTCTTATGATAATTAATTCTATAAAACATGAAAGAACAAGGCTGGCACATAGCAGGTGCTCCAAATATGGATCATTCTTCAAAGAACTTCCAAAACAAATTGGGATATTCAGAAGAAATGGCTTGACGTCACCCTGGTCTTTCTCAAAACTGAAAAGTGAGTTTATCTTTGGGACCTTCCTGATCCATTTTACCTTTGTGGTGGCTTAGTCCTTATCATGATATCTGATCAATGTCTCTTCTAAGGAAAAAAAAATGTATAATTCATTCACACTGAGCTATATTATTAATTGGATTATGGGGCGGGGAATAATTTCCCCTCTACCTTTCTAGGTTCTTGACTAATGCTCCTATATAAGAGATTAACATGAGACAAGGAAATAGAAGCTTAATAACATGTATAAGTCTTGAATACCTGGGAGACACCCAGTGAAACTATGTAACTCCCTGTTACCACCTTAAATATCTTCACCAGCTAAAAGTAAAGATGTTGGGGGTTGGAGGAACCAGTTATAGGAGGCTCTCTGGAAAAGCACAGTGGGATTGCTGTGTACATTTATGTCATTGCCTTCTCCAATAAAGGTTTCTAGGGATTCGGTCATCCTCATCTTTCTGGTACAGAAGGAAAGTGAAGATTTTCCTTATAAATATCAATTTCTCCTATGAAAGTATAACTGAGACAGTTTTTTCCCACTTGGAACACTTGTAGAAGCATAGCTGGGATTGAGCAATTGATTTGGAGTGATAATTGAATATGTAGTCATTTGATTTCACCATTGTGCAAACATCATAGAGTGTATTTTATTCTCCATACAGTTTTTCTCCTTTTCCCTAGCAGAGCAGTTCAGCAGGACATTTTGGAAGAGGAACTGAGTCATTTATGACTTCTTCTTGCTCCTGCAGTACAATGTCACTGTGTACTAAAACATCACGAGGCAACAGGAATTTTTGGACCACCATCGTATGTGGTCCATCATTGACTGAAACATCATTATATAGGTCATGATTAAATTAATACTACTGAGAAGTAGATTATGCCACTCC